GATTTTTGAAAAGAATAATGAGTGAACACTTGCTCTATCAGATAGCAAAACAGATTAATTAAAACAGCACAGTATCGATGTAGAAATATAAATAGATCAGTTTTTATTTAATCTAATCAAGAGTCCATATGGATATGAAAGTATAATTAGAAGTATAATATACAATAAAGGTGGCATTTCAACTCAGTGGGTTAGGATGAATCATTAAATAATTGGTGTTGAGAGAGTTGGCTATCAATTTAGACCAAAAAATGAAAGACACTTAGCTCATACCATTCCTGGAAATAAATTCCAGATGGCTAAATTTTAGAAGAAATGTGGATAATATATACTATTTAAAAAGAATTAGGTACATCTATTTGCAGGGGTGCCATGTATCATTTTTAAGTTTGTGCTTTGCAAAGGCGATGCTGGCCCAGGAGTATAAATAGGGAATGACATCCAGCTTTGTCACTGCTTGTCAAGCTGACTGCCATGGTTCAGAAGGGGGTCTTTTCCTAATTTGTCTCTTCAGGTAGGGAATCTATGTACTTTGCCACCAGAATAGAGCACCTTTTCTAATTGGCACAAAAACCTTATCTTCTAGCAGTAACCAATAAATAGTAGTTAATAGTAAATAGGTAATTTGTAGATACATAAATGCTTTTTTAAACACAAATGTTTGCTATAAACTGAACGTGTCCCTCTAAAATTCATATGTTGAAGTCCTAACCCCCAATGTGATGGTGTTTGGAGATGAGGCCTTTGGGAAATAATTAAGTTTAGATGAGGTCATGCAGGTGGGTCCTCAGGATGGGATTAGTGTCCTTATAAGAAGAGACACCAGAGAGCTACTGTCTCTCTCCCCACCTATGGGCACAGAGCACGAAAGCACTTGTCTATAAGCCAGAAAGAGTTCTCCCCAGAAACTCACCATGCTGGCACCTTGATTTTGGACTTCCAGTCTCCAGAACTGTGAGAAAATAAATTTCTGTTGTTTAAGCCACCAGTCTATGGTACTTCGTTTGTTATGGCAGCTAGAGCTAATACAATAGTATTGTGTTATAAAATGTATTGGGTTTTTTTTTTTTTTTTTTTTTTGGTTTTTGTTCCTAAACTCATTTTTTGTATAGGTACATAGAAAGAGTATGTATGCATTTGTATCAATAGACAACTGATAACAGAAAGGACTTCTAGAGAAGACATTGTATGAGAGTAGTGATCAAGGAACACTTTTGCTTTAACCTCATGTTTTGTTTTTAATAAAAATGTCCTCATTATTACATGTTTTATCTAAAATATTAAATGCTTAAATATTTTGATACAATATTGTTAGAAGGTATCTTATGTTTTAAAAATTCAATTAATAGTAATCACTTGTATTTAATGTGTGCTACATTCAATACTTCTTTAATCCTTACAACACTCTTATGAAGTAGACACTAGATATGTCTTTATTGTACAAAGAAATTTAAGCACAGGGAAGTTGAATAACGTACCCAAAAGTCACAAAGCTATAAAGAATAGAGCCAGGATTCTAATGTCAACAACCTGATTAAAGAACCTTCCCTCTTAACTTCTCTAGCATGTTCAAAAAGAGAATAGGGCTTAGGAAATTAGGAGGTTAGTGGAAACTTTGGCAGAAACAATCTCAATAAAATAAAATCACTCTTAACTATATGAAACAAACTGAGGGTTGCTAGAGGGGAAGTGGGTGGGAGGATGGGGTAACTGGGTGATGGACATTAAGGAAGGCACTTGATGGAATGAGCACTGGGTGTTATATGCAATGGATGAATCACTAAATTCTACCTCTGAAACCAATAATACACTATATGTTAATTAAATTTAATTTAGGTAAAAAATTTTTAAAATGAGGGTGAAATACAGATTATAACTGAGAAGGAAAACATAAATAAGATGAATCGCTATATCTTTTTATGTTGAACCACATGAAACTGTCAATACTTAACTATTTCTGACCTGCAGAAATGGAATTTTCTTATGGTTTGACCTAATATATCTGCTAATTTATGAATATTGTTTTCAAGAAACTTAGAATTAAAAAATAGAAGAAAATAAACAAGAGAAAAATTTAAACCCTCAAGGCCACGTGTGTGTGTTTTTAACAGATCTGGAGGCTGTTTCAAGCTTTTATTTTTATATTTAAAAAATGTGCCTCCAGTTAAAAAATTAAATATGAGATTTGTGAACTGTATTTCAGTAGTAGAGAAAAAGCAATTAGCCAAATTTCTTAGTGTCAGGGTGGTTATAAGAGAACACAACTTCTGGTTCTTGCCAGAAGCAAAAGCTACCAGCAGTTTTTACATGTTGAACTCCATCTCCCTAAGTCACAGAATGAGGACAATGCTTTCATCTACAACATTATCTGAAATTTTCTGGGAACTATTTCTTGATATATTATATTATCCTGATATTTTAATGACCTTCCTCACTGATTTCCCATTGGCATGCAAGTACTGGACTCATAATTATCCAAATCTACAACATTTCACATGAGTTTAACATACAGATCATAGACCCCTAAAAGTTGATAGCTCACTTAGCCCTCAGAAGCTGTCCAGTTCAATTTTACAAAGAACAAAGCAGAGCCTCATAGAGGTTAAATGAATGGTTTTGGCCAATTCATACACTATTCCAAGAAGATTTAAGGCTAAAACCTTGGTCCCCTGGTTCCTAGTCCTTAGTACTCTTTTTGCTATGTGTGATATGCCTATTTTTTCCTGTTATGTAATGTAGATTAATCTGGTTTTCCTTTTCTTCTTTTCAACTGGAGTTCTGAGTCAGCTAATCTTGATAATTATTGGAACAGGAAGCTAAAGACCAAAATGGCTCTGTAATCAAAGAAACTCCCTGGCTATGAGGGGAGATTCTATTAGAAGCATGTCTGCTATATGCTGGGACCTCACATCTGTTCTGTTTTTCCCACCCCCTTTAATTCCTGTGGCTCTCTCTTGTTTCCCCAGCATAGTTTCAGACTTTCCAAGCAGCCTTTGACCTCCACCATTGTCTTGCTCTTTAGTGGGATTTTTGTCTCTGACCCATGGCATGACCTATCTGCTGGTTCCCACTTTATCTTGGTTTGTGCTTATTTGGCTGGTTTCTCACTGGCTGTTTCACCTCTTAGCCTAGAGCCTTGGCTTTGCTGTATTCTCAGTTTTCTCCATAATAGATTAAAGTGAACTCTAAAATCCTGAGATACCTAGAAAATGATGTAAATTTCATCCAGAAAATCCTTAGGAATTGCCTGGCATTTATGTGGAACTCCAGATTTACTCTGAAACCTTGGTGACTGGAGTTTGAAATAACTGTCCCACCCTTACAAAGGAAGCTTCCTAGATAAAAGTGAACCTCGTTGTATAAAATGGTTATATCTTCCAAGGTTATATATAAGTCTAAGGGGTAATTTTTATTTTGTATTTATTTTTTTTAAGATTTATTTATTTAGAGAGGGAGAGAAAGAGAGGGTGGGGAAGGGTCAGAGGGAGAGAGAATATCCAAGCAGATTCCTGCTGAATGTGGATCCCAGCTCAGGGCTCAATCTCACAAACCATGAGATCAGGACCTGAGCCAAAACCAAGAGTTGGAGGTTCAACTGACTGAGTCACTCAGGCACCCCTAAGAGGTAATTTTTAAATAGACTTAATTTTTAAAGCAGTTTTATGTTCACAGCAAAACTGAGCAGAAAGTACAGAGTTCCAGGCAAGTTTATTTTTTTAAATTGACTACCAGTAAACTTATTGTGACTTCTGTTATGAAACAAAAGAGCTATTCTTAATTTATCTTGTGAAAATCCACTCAGAAGCTAGCTAAACTAGATAACTATGCCAGTTACCAATTTGTTGTCTGACACAATGTTAAGCTATGTCAGAAAGGGGTTCTGGAAAGATGCTGAAGGAGGAAGGGGCTTTCTTTCCTGGTTCCAGTGTTTACCCCTTCTTGCTCCAACCATATGGCTGCCTGCTGCATGTGTGGGGAACTCCCAGTGGCACCTGTGCGCATGGAGTTCCAATGGCACCCAATGGTCAGTTTCCCATCAAATTTCAGAGGCACTCCCATGGTCAGATTCTCACTGAGTTTTGCAAGCATCCCAATGGTTGACTTCCAGCTTTGGCCTCCTACACTCACGCAGGGCGTTTCCTGCTTGCCCAGTGACTGTGAACTAGTTCTGGTTGAGCCCATCTAAGAACTTCTCCACCATGCAGTCGGCCACAACCATGCCTTCTACAGTAAGGTCTGAGTCCTAAACTTGGAGCTGGGGGCGGGGGGGGGCTTCCATATTTGTTTCTTCTATGGGAAACTTCCTTCAGCCCTGGGGTTTTCTTTAAAGTTCTCTTTATCTCTTTATATAACAGAGGTTTTCTATTAGAATTAATAATGCTTTATCTTAACCTTTCCCTATTCAAATTACTGTGTTGTCTCTGTCTCCTCACTGACACTGATTGATATGGTAAACTTGGAAAAGTAATTTTAATTTCTCAGGATACTCATTCATAAAATGAGAACACTGGGTTAGTTGATCTCAAATGTCCTTTTCAGCTCTAAAATTACACCATTCCAAGAAATCCTCTGCGTTTTCCTACATAGGGTGCATTCTAAGTATACTAAAATGAATCACATACGCTGTATAATTGTGCATTGTCTTCCCCAGCCACAATCATAGCAAATGGGTCTCCCTTCTTATCGGAATAATGGTTTCCTCCTTCTATGTCAACATATTAAGTCACAGCAGCAGCCAGGATCATTTCATGCATACAGTGGGCAATCAAATACTATGAAATCATCTGTGAGGGTTTTAACTAGGAAACTATCTAAGGAACTAAATGGCAAACTAGAGATTTGTGTATGAATAGGAGAGACGGAAATACATTATAAGTATCATTTTATCTGTTTGTGAATATAAATACTGTAAGAACACATTAAGTATAGAAAAATGCTCCCTCTGATACTGTTTACTCTAACCACCTCCATTACTATGCAATTTAGGATTTTTCTTTTACCTTTCTCTGTCTTTCACTGATTGTTCAGCCATTAATTTCTTCAGTTCTTCCAGACGCTGAAGATCTCTCATTTCCATTTCTTGCCACTTCTGCTCTTTTTTAGCCCAGTATTTTCTTATCTACAGTATAAATGATACATAAAATTTAAATTAACAACAGATATGTCAAAATGAGGAGAAAAGTTATAACAACATATCCACTGGTTCATATGTTTAAATTTAAATGGTACTTTATCTTTTTCATTTCTTAGATCTGCCTACAGTATATTGACAACAGAAAAAAAAAAAATAAATGAAAACATGAAGGTACAAGTCCTAAGAAACTGCATGGTTTAACAATGCTGAAGTGGAAATGTAACTTATGCTGAGATCTAAAGTTTAAATCTATGGCTAAAATAATCGACTTTCAGGGAACCACAATAGAAGCATGTTATTGTCTCTAAAGTATATGATCTCTCTGTTACTCAAGAATATTTTTATCCCCTTATGATAATGCAGTCTTTAACAAATATCATTAAACCTATTTTTACTTTAACAGCATGAGTTTATTTATGCTAATGGACAGCAGGATGTTGAAAGCTTTATGCTTCTGGGGAAGTGGCAGGAGATAGGTGGGAGGAAGGAGGAGAAGAAAAAATTAGAAGGGTTCTGATATATAGTAGTTCTGACTTATGTGGTAAAATAAAGGACAAATTTATCAAGCTCGAAAAGGTGAGAGCATTCTTAGTAAGCCTGTTTTACTTCCCTTCTCTGGAAATGGAGCCAGACTGAGAAAACTGAAAGTACTCATATGGATTTTCAGAGGGATGAAACCATTATTCAGGGTTCTCCTAGCTCCCCAGGTGGGGCAATTGAAGTTAATGTTTATTTGACAGAGGCCCCTTCAGCCACTCTGGCTTGCCATGTTGTGTGTGACTCAAGAGACTGGATCTTGCTGGAAAAAGTAGAGTACCTCAGTGGTGAATGATAGTGAGTGACTGCCAGCAGAAGGTCTGTTGTGGAAGACAGGTTAGCCACACCCCTCTTTTGAGAAGTGAATATGAAAAGCTAAATGGTTTCCAGACTTCCCCTAGCAAACATAGTCTCTGACCCCTGGGAGAACTAAAAGGAGCATCCCAAGCAACATGGCCACAGCCATAGCAACTCTGCTGCAGAGCCTACAACACCAGCAGCCACAAGGGAGATGTCCACTCAATGAGTAGTGAATAACTGGATGAGCTCAAGGCATAACGATTTCACTCTAGAGATCATTGAGATTTGAATTTGGGGAGAACAGAGATGAAGTTAGAAAGGTAGCAGCACCAAAGATGGAGAGTGAAAGAGAGGGTAGGAGAGGCAGAGAAAGAAAACACTGACAAGGTGTGTTTCAGAGTCTTAACTGAGAAATTCCAGGGCATTCTCTCAGTGCCAGATATGACAATGTTAACAATGATTATATCCTCTCCCTCTGGGGTTTAAGTGGTCTTTATTTTATGCTTTATACTTTTCTTTGTTACCTTATGTTTTGCAATGAATATGTATTTCTTTCATGATCAGAGAAAATAAAGCTACTTCAAAACTAAATTTTAAAAAAGAACACATATTGGATTAAAGAGCATTTTCCCCTGGGCTCCAACAGACCAATGTTCGCTTATGCTCACTGTTGGCCTTGGAGGGAAGTCAGTGGTTCTTTTGTCGACAATCCCTTGACTACAAGCAGACCAACCCCAGGTTGCTGGTGTCCTTGGATTGCAGACACTATTTGGTGCACTAGCCTCTGCAGGCTCTAGAATTAAGTCACACCTGAGGCTTTTGGCATCTCGGGATCAATTATTTCCATTCCCAACACTCTGGTATCCTCAGACATTACTACAGTGTGAGCCTCTCTCTCCTTCTCTCCCGCCCTCATTCTCTTAGGTGAGCATGATTTATTCTTTTTCAGTGCTTTCTACTGGACTCTCTGAAACCCCTGTGTCATCACACATAAAATCCTCTACATCTTCAACCTTCAGACCACTGTATCATTGTTTTGACTGGAATTCTCTTGAGTAAAGGATGATTATCTTCGATGCCCCATGTGCCAGGAAGCTGGGGAATGGTTTGGGCATTTTCCTCCTTGTTAACAGCTACTTTTACACCACAATGATAATCCTCTCATGTACAATGTCTTCTTCCTTTGATGTTAACTGTATCTGTATCACTTTCTAGTCCTTATGACTGGCATGTATGGATTTCCAGGTCATTCCCAAATATTCATCAAGAATTCAGATAGGCGGGTGATAGCCACACAGGATTTGTTGTCCAAAACAACCCTTTCTACTTTCCTACACAGCTTCAGCATCTGCCTGAATGCCCCTCCAACCTACTAATTTCACAGTTTTATGACTTCCTCCATTCCAGGGAGCTACTTCTTCCCCCAGGATTCTATTATCATCAAGGACATTTCAGTTCCAATCTGAAATCTTCAATTATAGCCATCAGTTCTATGACCAGAAACTACCCACTTCTTTTCTATCATCCTGTGTTCTGATTGTATACTTTTATTCTTCTAGTAGAGCCTTCATCACAAGGCTTTGCTAATTAATATGCTTCTTTCTCTCCCCCACTAGACTTCAGAAACGTGATTTGTTTATTTTGGCACTTCCAACATCAACTAAAGGGTCTAGACCATAGTATATAGCTAATAAACATTTGATTGATGAATGAATTACACAATTATAGAAACTTGCACCAAATTTATGGTTTCAACTGAATCTTCATTGACAACCAGCATTCCTTTTATGAATTCCTGGTTAATGCCTCTTAATTTCTCATGGCTATATTCCAAAGCCTGTTCACTATGTTAAGCTCCGTAACTGCCTTTCCTTCTTCACTTTTATCAGGAAAAAATGGAAGCTCTAAATGATACCTTCCTTGATGCCTTGCCCCTCAGAAGAAGAGATGTCTTTCCTTTGTACAAGATTTATCCCTCTCGGGCTCCAGATCCTACTCCCCAATTCCATCTTCTCCATAACCTTACTCCATCATCTACCTCTCTATCTCTTGTACCTTCAATCTCTTGGTCTATGCTGCTTCCTTCTCCTTACATGGAAATATGTACAAATCTCACACATTTACAAAATTTAAAATAACTTTCTTTAGATTCCCAAGACTGTCCCTTCATTGTTCCCTTTTCAGTCAAACATCTTAGAATACTCACTCTTCTTCAATTTCACATCTCCTAATTTATTCCTCATCCATGACATTCCTACCTCTTCCTTCCTTCCAAATTCACTACTCTCACCAGTGACATATAAATGAGCAAACTAAATGATCCTTTTCAATCTTTATTTTATATAATGTCTCTGTGCATTTAATTCTGTCAACCCTTATCTATAGTCTTAAGATATTACTGACTTTGGCACTCATTTGTTCAACAAATATTTATTGAACACATGCTTTAAGCCAGATACTGTGCTGTGTACTTGGGATATGATGCTTAAAGAGAAATAAGACCTCTGCTTCATAGAGCTGGGACTTCTAGAAAGAGAGAGAGAAAGAGAATAAACACGTAAATGAATGAACAGAATATTACATGTGAAGTTCTAAGAAGGAAATAATTATAGTAATGATTTAGAAAAATTTGGGTAGAATTTTTATTAGAAGGCATATTTTTGTAATGACATTTGAATCAAAACTTGAAAGATGATTGTGAGACAATCACTGTGAGACAATGAGGGTGATCACTGCAGAAATGGGAGCTCTAGGTGCAACAGCATTGAGTGGGAAAGACCTTGTGCATTTTCAGGACTGGGAAGAAGCCAGTGCAGCTCAGCATGTGGTGTGAGTTAAGAATGGAGGTGAGATTAAGAAGCTAGCTGGGGGCTATGTGATTAGACGAGGATTTAAGTTCTAGAAACAAGGAAAAGCTATTGAAGAATTTAAAGCAGGGAATGACATGATCTGACTTACATTTTTAAGAGGTAGTTCTGGATATTGGGTGAAGAATGGATAGTAGAGGCGCAAAGGAGAAACAAAGAGACCAGATAGAAGAATAAGGCAAAAATGATCACTTGGACCAGGAAATGAAGGGAAGTGTTCAGATTTGAGATGGCTTTTGAGTGGAGCCAGACTGCTCACTAAGGGATTAGATATGAAGTTTGAAGAAAATGGGAATCAAGGATGATTCCTAGATTTTTGCTAGAGCAACCAGTTGAATGATGGTACCAATAACTGAGATGGAAGATTGGAAGAATAACAGGTTTGGGAAAGAAAGACAATCAGGGGCTCAGCAGTGAACATTAAACAGTTGACATGACTATAAGATCTTGAAGTGAAGATTCCAAATAAACATATGGAGGGTACAGATGGGAGACTCAAGGGTTGATTCAGGGCTGGAGATCTAAATTAAGGAAATATCCACTTAAAATGGTATTTGATGCCACAGGACTAGATGAGATTTCTAGGGTGAGAGCATAAATAGAAGAAAATGGCCATGTACTTTCATTCCTATCTTCCTTTTGCAAAGTTTCTTAACTAGAATGACATCCTTTCCCTCTTCTACCTGTCAGTTTTACTCTACCCTTATTCTCAGAACAAAGGCCATCTCCTACTTGAATCATCATCTGAACCCTCCAGGAAAAAATCTTAGCTCCATCCTTGGCACACCAATGACACTTGGTGAAAGTTTATTACTCTCCATTTTGTTCTGCCTTGAGTTCCTTGATTCTTTTTCATGAGGTTCTCCCACTGGATTGTTACTGATCTATTTAGGCATTTATTACATGCCCGGCGTGGTCTGCCCTGCCTGTAGTCTGCTAAATCCCTCCTACCCATTCTTTAAGACTCAGTTTTAGCATTGCTTTCTCAGCTTTCCTCCTTCTCCCTCTCCTCCAGACATAAATGTACCTTCTAAGGCACTATTTATGTATCCTTAGCATAGCATTTTCCATATTGGTCAGCATTATTCTTCTTTGTATTGTAGTACCTTGTATCATGTCTGACACAGGGCTTAGTTGATCATCATTAGGTGAGTGGAAGCTTCTTCTGGTCTCTGGCCCGAGAATAACAAAGCTGTGGATGGGAACAAGGCCAGCAGTTTTATTTGCAGGATGGTAAAGTCTGAACTAAGCACTTCCCTAAGGACAGTTCTATTCACTTTT